ATTATATTTTCTGATATAAATAATAAAGATTCTGATATAATTAAGTGAATATAGCGAATGTAAATAGAATTTCATCGTAAATAAAAAATGTACTTCTAGTGTCAAGAGATTGGATAAATTACAGGTTAGAAATTATATAATATCAACTGGACAATGTTTAAATAAAAAATAGGTAATCTTACATTGTATTGGATAACAAAGCACGTTTCACTGCAAACATGGTTGTAGCTTTAATAGATAAAACTGTTTTTTATAAAATAACGACGAAGAAATGTGAAGTACAGAGCCTATAACATCGATCGCCAAACTATTACGAACTGACGGCAACTGCCGAAGTGCCGGACAGTTCAACTACAAATTGCACCAATGACACAATATGTATATACGTACGTCACAATTATACTGTTGGCAACTGAATTTTTAATTGTTTCATTTGATATACGATAATATTAATATATGTATATTGAATATCACAATTTATAAGCATGGTAAGACAAACAAAAATTTTACTTCAATTTTATAGTTTGAGCAATTTTATCTGGACTGCATTGGGAAATATTTGAAATAAATTAGTCTTTTCGATATTTTTTTTAGCGATCAATTTATATAAAATTTATATTTGAATTGAATTATCTCTTAATCATATTTGAGTTGTTAATTATATTAGAAAAAAATTGTTATTCTGAATACAGAATATACTTATATACGTATTGAAAATTATATACCAAAATTATAAAACAGTCGAAAAGAAAATAACTTTCACAAGAGAAACATGAAAATGACGTACTTTTTAATCTAAGAATAATACAAAATAGTAGTATGAATATTTTGTACATTTGTTCATGAAAAAAGAAGATACAAGTGTGATGTTTTATCACGCACGAGGTCAATCCGCATGGTTTACTGAAATTAATAATTTCTTGTATTTCGTATAATTTACAGTTATTTAATAAATCTAACAAATAGACCTCAATTTTATTATACACAATTCAAAGCACATTTTTTGCACGAACAACGCATATCTAGACGCGTATCTCACAATGGAAAAAACATTACATACATACAAATTATTACGCACATAATCGTGTATAAATCTACGTATGTGCGTCGTCGTGTATCAGATATTATTAACATGTGTGTATTTACATAATGGAAAAGGCATAACCTTAATTATTGTTTTATTGTTATCTATATACTCTGTGATTCTTTCAAAAAATCTAACAAGGGTTATTATCAATGTTTCAACGAATTTACAATACGCTCTTTAAAAACATCGATGCATTTGTTTACATAATAATGAATGCATATTAGAAATTTCAATGTGATTCAATTGCAAAAAAATAGTTTTAACTATCTACCCCTTTATTCCAACGCCGTGTTATGTTGTGTACATACAATTAATTATATGCATTTATGTGTAGTTCTCTTGATATTAACGTGACTTATAAATATTCAAATAAGAAACATATTTACAGATATATTGTGTAAAATAATACAAAATTGTCAATAGGATCTACACATTCGTGATTCCACATTATAATTTTCAACCAAGGAAATATAGAACATTAGATTTAACTTGTACTGTATACCAAGTCACGCCAAGCCTGATTCATATGTAACAAATTGTTAGATGTATAAAACCATCCTAGAAAATTATTCATTCCGGATCGCTTTGAAGCGTCTCACCATTAGTTAGGACTAATGCATCATCGTCAGCTTCGTTATAATCGAGAGAAAGGATACTCTCTCTCCTTTTTTTCTTGTGTGTCCTTTCATCGTCACTACCTGGAGCACTTTTGTCCCTTTTGGTCCTATCCCTACCCCTTGTTGTTCTTGTTAGCACCTCTTCCCCATTAGTTTTACTGTTACTTCTATTATGACTTTTGCTCCTTAATATCCTCTTAGTATTACGATTTTCTTCCTGTTCTTCCTCCCTATCACTTAATTCCTCATTCTCAACTTTAATAATTAAAGCGGCTGAATCACTTGAGCTTTCATCGTTATGATCAGCCTGATTAGGTTTTCGTTCTACTCGCTCTGTTCTTTCAGTACTAGAAAATTCACACTGAGGCGAACGTCCTGAAGATAACGGTGGAGTCCTAGCACCTTTGCACACATCACTATCCTCTGCTGATTTCGATGTTTTTGTTTCCGAAACGGTGTTTTCTTCTGATTCCTCTTTCTTAATTGGCGGAGTGTGTGGAGACAAACCATTCGTCAAATTATTTTCACTGGAACTCGCTTTCAACGCTGCATTCTCTTGTTGTAATAAAGTTACCGATTCACGGGCTTTGCGCAGTTCCTGTTGTAAGAAATAAATTGTGCTCTGCATTCCTTCTACATCCTCATCCAAATCTTGTAAGAATTCATCTAACTCTGTAAAAATGGATAAAAAGGAAATAGTAGTTAGCATATTTCACAAATGAATTTATCAATAATCTAAGCGGAAAAAAGAATTACCTGATTGTGATTTTTTCATTTCTTCACTGAAACTTCTCTGAAGAGCAAGGTCTCCTTCTAGTTTAGCAATTCGACCACTAGCAATCATACGACCTAATTCTTCATTTTCTTGATACAATAATCTGCATTTTGCCATTAATCGTTTCCCCGTATTGCTAGAAATAAGAACAGAACATGAAAGGATTTATAAATAAAAAAATTGTTAATTATTTAAATTGAAATTAATAAAATTGTTATCTACCTATCGGGTGTAAATTTCCATGCACTAAGTTCATTTTGAGTATCTTCAAGTTTAGCTTTTGTTGTAACAAGTTCTTGCCTCAGTTTCTGAATTAAAATGTTAACGGCTGGGTCTAGTAAAGCAGATCTTAATGCAGCAGCGGACGGAGCATGAGCAGCTTTCATTTCAGCAATTTGATTCTAAACATAAATTAAACGTTTATATGAAATTTGTATAAAATTTTGTATAAAATTTATATAAAATAACATATTTACATACAATGTATTCCTGCAATTCCTGTTCTTTAGAGGCAAGTCTCCTGACTAAGATTTTCTCTCTATGAGATGCTTCTGCATGTTGCTGCCTGTATTTGTTTTCAGACTCTCTCAACGAAGTTAGTTCACCTATAAAGCAGTATTATATTATTTTTTTCTTTTAATTCAAATTATCACTGTTTAAAGCTGTCTATGTGCTACACTGACTTGTTATATATTTAATATAATCACCATTATCATATAATAAAACTGGATTTAAGTGTATATGAACAAAAACACAATGAATACAAAAATATCCTTACAAAACTTATTATGAATATTTTCTATTCAATAATATGTTGGAGAATATAGTAAATTATAATACCAAACTTTTATATAAATATTTATCGGCTTGCATTTTATTACATAAAAAATGATAGTAATCTGCATATTTTGATTAATGTTATTAACGTTCATA